AGGAAAGAAATAAAAGAAAATTGAAAAATTGAAAAGGTAGAAGAGAAGATTGAGGGCGAAAACCTCAAAATTAAAGTATTTGATGTAGATGATTACCGAAACTGCAAGATAACCTTTAAAGGGAAGCAATTACGTTTCATACCTATCTTCGAAACTCGGACAAATGTCTTAGAATAATTATAAAAGGCTTATAATCTGATTTCACTGCAGATGAAGTAAAGGAAGACTTATAGCTTCAGAATATTCCTATATTGTGCTGCAAGCAAAGACTGCGAGATGGCATTTTGGTAAATCTACTCACCTTTTAAATTGAAGCTCCAAGTGCTGTCGCAGGAAAAGGTATATGGAAAATACGCAAAATCTTAGACATGTGTGTGTGAATCGTATCTTATATGTGCAGGCCGGGTCACACACAGTGCTTCGGCCATACTCAGAGAGCCTGCCACAACCCCTCACGTTGTGTTAGATGTTTGGAGTCTCATAAAACTGTAGAGTGTCCTAGTAAAAATGGTAAAAGCATAGCCGCTACCTATATACTTTACAAATGGCCACATCCAGCCTGCAGTGTTAATTGTCCCAAAAGACCGTGAAATAAAGAGGCACCTATCTGCAAATCTTCTAGTAAAATAACGAAGTCCCCTGCAACAGGAAAAGAAAACTCAAAAAGTTCGGCTTCTCACAGCCAACCAGAAAATAATTCAACTACGACTAACAGCAGCTGCCGCCGCAGCACCTTCAAAAAATTCAAATAATTTTCGTACGAAAAGTACTTCAAATATAAATGGGAAAGAAATCCCCGAAGAGGATGATTTTGAAAAGTTTACCGAATTAATAAAACGTCTGTATCAAATCTACACTAGATGCAGGAGTACTAACGACCCAGCTCGCAAAATTAACATCGCTATGGATGCTGTAAAGATCTTTATCAAAAACGATAATGTCTTTTAAAACTTATTCAAATCCACAACAAAATTTACAACATATAAATTATGCTAAATTTATGTTTCATAATTGCAATGGCATATCTACACAACTCCTTGAGCTCAAGCACTACATCAAAACTAACGATTTGGACATTATATTGCTTAATAAAACACATCTTAGAAGCCCGGACAGTCTGAAAATTGCCAACTCACTTCCGATCACCTTCCCATCAAATTTACGCTATATGGACTTAGCCATGGATTACCGCCGTTACATAGCAAAATAAACTGAAATAACTTCACCCACATTCTCGATAACAATATTTCTATGAATAATAATATCACAGATAGCAATAAAGCTGAAAATGCCATAAAAGTGCTCACCAACAATATCGTTTCGGCTCCCGTTTCCGTAGATAAATTTACCTTACCAGTTCATATCAAAAATAAAATTACAGAGAAGAACAGATTACGGAAATTTTACAAAAACACTCTAAATCCTATTGACAAACTTCGTCTGAACCAAGCATCCAGGCAACTCAAAAAATTAATGGCGAATTATAAAGATTCTAGCGGGTATGATTTTATTAGTAACCTGTCGCACATCGACCACTCAAAAGCCTTAAAGAAGAATAATTCTGAAATTGGTCCGATTAAAAACAACAATATAATAATTAACAAACCTTTAGGTATTGCTAATAAATTTGCCGGTACGTATGAAAAGCAATTTACCGTCAATCAATTCTAGAACCCAAATGATTCGCTCATCTGCAGTCCATGTGACCGACTTTCTCTCTAACCACCAAGATAAAAGAAACTATCCTACCTCACCTAATGAAATTAAATCTTTAATTACTAAATTGTCCCTTTATCGGGCACAGGCCATTTGTTTTCAAAATTCATATTTTATGCAACTATTAGGGAAAAGTAGCTCGTTTATGACCGAAAATACTATTTTTGGAATTATGTTGTTGTTGTTGCTTATAATAGGGGTGGTAACATATTTACCACCGCCCGGTATAAGCAATGGCATTTTACTGAGTTGTGCAAAAGAAAAAATCATAATTACAAAAAATATCACAAATAAACATTTATTTTTGATGAATGAAAACTATTTATTCTTGATTATTTAAATATACATACAATATAAAATCGATCATTAATATAAAATTCATAATATAGAAATTACAGATATAAATATATCCAAATGCAACTACTTCTACTGATTTTAATTTTTATTTTTATTTATAACATGGAAGCAGCACAGAATGGTAACACCACATGTTGAACATAACACCTTGGTACGCTTTCTGATTTACTTTTGTGCTGCAATATTTGCACCTTCTGTAACTTTCCTCCTCTGACTGGCATGTGTGTTCTATCACGTTAGTTGTTCGGATTTCCCCTTGGAATAGCATTTTTCCTTTTTCGCTGATACCCAGTTTGATTGCAGTTTTCGTTTTTTACTAGATTAAAGCCTCCAATTAGGCTGCGAGCTACTTTCAACCTAAATTCAAGTCTTTTTCCCAGTGTAAACTTCAGACACATATAGGTAACCAATTGATGCGTTGATCTAGCCCAAATCTTATAAACTCTTTTTTTACAGGCTTCCCTGGCATATATTGCTTCATTGTGGACCTTTCCTATTGAATTTTACCATGTTTTTCATCAATAGATTGAAGTCTGAATATTTTTATTGAATTTTTATCTAAATGGGTGATCAAAGAACGCATTTACTGTAATTTGTCAAATTCTGGCTCATTTCAAGGGACAGCCTTTTGATTGCCATTGATATGCAAATTTGAAAGGATTTTTTTTAATCTCTTTGCTGGCATCATAATTGAGGAGAATTTCTTGATTATTGAAAAAAAGAGTCAGAAGACCAGTACAAATCTAAGGTAATTTATTGATCCCCTTCATAATTAGGATTTCCCAAAAAGGCCTGCAGTTCTTCTTGCGTGAGGGAGTCCTTTTTCGGAATCTTCAGGATCTGAAGGCAGTGCAAAATAAAGCTCTCTACAGCTTCCTCGGTGATTAATTTTTTTTTTTTTCTTCAATGCGTTTACCTAAAATAATATTCATTACATTTAATTAGTTACTTATATTTTGAAATCACTTGAACATTCTGATCAAAATATTACTTTTATAGCATTCTAAAGTAATATTTTAATTCTAATTTCTAAATACATAAATATTTACTATGTAATCCTAAATAAACGCTAAAATATTTTTCATAATATTTATAATAATTAATATTAGAAATAATTAATTACTGAAATGCTAATATAAAAGTATTAGATATACAAAGAAATCAAGTACCACGCCAAACAAAATGCTATTTCTAAAGCGAAACATATTAGTAAAACTGCGTTTCTATCAGGCAGTGGTAAATTATTTACCACCTATAAAATCACTAAGCGTGCCGTGGTAAATAATTTACCACCAAATTCAATTATGTATAAAACAAAATAATTCGCTATATTTTTTAAATGCCTAATACAATTTAACTATCAAACCTTTAAGGTACAAAATATATGAATATATAGCTTTTAACGTATTTTTGTATATCATTACACAATAAAATAAGAAAAGAATACGTGCTTACCCTCTCCATTTTGCTTGAAAACTGGATGAATGCAGAAATGTTGCGATTTACGTGGCCTCTACAGCCACCTATTACAGAAAACGTGAAGCTCTGGTTCCAGAGGAAAATTTTTGATATCGGGCGCTGGTAAATAATTTTCCGTATGCTGCTAGAAAAAAAATTGCTTAGTGGTAAGATATTTACCACCGCCTGTAAAAGGGTTAAATCCTAAAAAAGCAGCAGGTTTCGACACCATCATTAATAAAGCACTCATGGAGCTTCCCAGAAGAGGAATTGTGCAAATCACAAATATCTTTACTGCCTGCTTACCTTTTCCCTCGCATAAATATAAATTACCAGATATATATTTATTAAATGCGCGTGCTCCAGTATTTTTACTTTCTCGGCGTAGCTTCTCTTAAACCTCGTCAAGCGCTGCATTACACGAGGAAATAAAAATATTTTAAGTACGATTCTACTAAAAATTGTTATCTAAATACAAAATCCGGAACAATATATTCGTTATTCTCTCCAGATCTAGGTGTCATATACCATTGTGTTGTCTTATTCAGCTGTATTATAGCTTTTATGTATTGCTGAGGTATTTACTTACTTCTACAAGACTCATGACCTATCTGGTGGAACAAGTGATGTTTTGCATTTCTTATCTTAAATAACAATAAACTATAATGGTTATAAAAAGGTAAAAGCAGTTGTGTCAGGAGGAGTGAGTCCAGGAGCAAGCAGATAAACTGCGAGCTCAGCAGCAACAGAAAAAAATCTTAACAAACTCTCTGATGCGAAGTTACATATCCTTTCAGACTTCTTCTTTCTTTCTTTTTTTTTAATAGAAAGTTCTTGATTTGAGTGCTGTGTTATTTTACATAGCCAAATTGTCTACCAATTAAATTGCTTCAAAACATAGTTAAATTATTAACTGTCATTTTTAATAGTTATAACACATTTTATTCTCCTTTTCTGCAATTTTAACTGCAGTCGCGATAACCGTCAGTGGACTAAACCATGAGTGTGTTTCGGTAAATCTTCAATTGCCGTAGCTGCTTTTATATTACAAGTCATGATACAGATGTCAAACATTTTTGCTTCGAAAACAGCACTTAACCTAGCAACCTATTATGTTGTTGTTGCAAGGCGAAAGTATTTCAAACACGTGACATTAGCTGCCACCAGAAGCATATTTCGGTCTCTCATAAATTTTAAGTTAAAAAATATTGACTATAGAAAAAACCTTAAGAATAAATAATCCTCATCTCCAAGAGCAGATGCGATATTTATCATTTACAAAGTTACAACAACAATATTATTATTTACAATTACAGAATGGCGGGCCGCGGGCGGCACGTGGCAAAATGGCAGGTCGCGAACGGCACGCGGGCTCCAAAACAAAACTATTCTACTCACGAATATGTCTCGTCCTACTGCTCCTCCTCTTGCTTCGCCTCCTGCTGCTCCTCCTCGTGATGTTCCTCTTCCTACTGCTCCTCCTTTTCTTGCTTCACCTCCTGCTTCTCCTCTTCTTGCTCCTCCTCTTGCTTCTCCTCTTGCTGCCCCTCCTCTTTCTGCTCCTCTTCCTGCTGCTTTTTCTCTTGCTCCTCCTCCTCCTGCTGCTGCTCCTCCTCCTCTTGCTGCTCCTCTTCTTGCTGCTTTTCCTCTTGCTGCTCTTCTTCCTCCTGCTCCTCCTCCTGCTGCTCTTTTTCCTGCTGTTCCTCCTCTTCCTGCTGCCCCTCCTGCTCCTCTTCTTGCTGCTCCTCTTTCCTGCTGCTCTTCTTGCTGCGCCCCCTCTCCTTGATCCTCTTGCTGCTCCTCCAGCTGCTGCCCCTCCTGCTCCTCTTCCTGCACCTCTTCTTGCTGCTCCTCTTTCTTGATGCTACTTCTCCTGCTGCTCTTCTTGCTGCGCATACTCTCCTTGGTCCTCTTGCTGTTCCTCCTCCTGCTCCTCTTCTTGCTGCTCTTCCTCTTGCAGTAAGAGGAGCAGGAGAAGAAGCAGCAGGAAGAGGAACAGCAAGAGGCTATGTAAAATAACATAGCACTCAAAACAAGAGGTGGAGCAGAAAGAGGCTATGTAAAATAACATAGCAGTCAAAAAAGAGGAGGAGCAGCAGGAAGAGGTGCAGCAAGAGTAGGAGCAGCAGGAAGAGGAGCAGCAGGAGGAGGCACAGCACGAGGAAAACTGACAGTTAATAATTTAACTATGTTTTGAAGTAATTTAATTGGTAGACAAGTTTATTTGGCTATGGAAAATAACATAGCACTCAAAACAAGAACGTTTCCCTCCATGAAGTATAATATCCCGTTTAAGTTATCGTATCGGCTCGTATTAGTTCGCACAGGAGCACAATATAGAGGCACAAATTAACCAACACTTGCAATTTTAATATTTGTTCTTATACAAATTAAATAAAAGTTGGTTCTTTTAATATCTTGCACACATCTTGCACTGTATGAAAATCCATTTCGTTTCATCATTCGCCGCAACCAGCCTTCACTCGCCTTGAATTGCGATGTAGGAATGGCTTCTCGTGCCGCAGTAAGCCCTCTTATTTGACACAATTCCCTTGAGCACGCATATCATGTACACCTACGCTTGAGCACGCATTATTACAACCATAATACTTAGGAGAACCGCAACTGCGTTTTCTCCTAAGTTCGGAAACTTACATTTCGAACCACAAAAGTCTTGTTTTGTTCGTTGCCGCCAGTTGATCACGCTGTTTTCTCCATTTGCGCACACACTTTTCGTCCACCTTATATACTCTTGCTGCTGCTCTTTTTGCGATTTTTCTGCGGAAATTCTACGACTTTCAGCTTAGAAGCCGCTGTATAGCTGCTGTAGTTTCCCATTTCAAGAACGCTACTTGCTAACTACTCCGAATTTTCAAATGATACTATGAATGAAAAGAGAAAGCTTGAAATATGCGAATGCTCCAAGGATTCCTTCATGGAGAGAAAAGTAATTTCATTACCAAACAGTATCTCCTGGAAGCCAGTGTGGACTGCCTTCATTTATTATCGCGTCTGCCAAGTGGATTGCTGCCGCCGATGTTATAACTGAATAACAGCTGCACCATAATGCAAGGAAAGTCTCTGCTATCCATCCTGGCGCCAACCAAAGACAAAACAAATGCATATTCTTTCTTTAAAGATGTTTATTGACTAATAGTATTGACTAAAGGGAAAAGGCGATATTAAGAAATATATTTTAAAGTAAGAAACTCTTTAGTTTTGGGGGTGCGGACACTGTGCGGGTCACTTTTTTTTACAATTTTATCTGTAAAGTTGGGGTGCAGACATTACATAAGAGCGGACATTACACGACCGTATACGGAATTAGAGTTCCAAATAATTCTTCTGATTTCTTCCATAATACTTATAAATGGTATAATAAATGTTTTAATTGTTTTATAGCAGTGGTCTTAAATTGTGAATGCGGACCTAAGGCAGGTTCTGAAAACAGCCGACGAGCTCGAATTTTCTTTTTTTTTAGGCCCAAAGGGATAATTTGCCCAGAAGGGCTATTAATTTCGTTTTGATATTTTGCGTTGGTTCACTATAAAAGTCTGAATCACTTTTAAAATTGTTTTCACCAAATATTAGAGCCCTCCTTTATATTTAAAAAAATTAAATAATAAAGAATGTCCATGGATGTGTGTATGTTTCTCACATTGTGAAAAACAACGGTATCTGGAAACATCAAATTTTAAATAACATAGTCCTCCACTCGAATATGGACATCCGGAAGTCCAAATTTGGAGTTTGTTTTACTATCTATTTCGTATTTTGTAAAACTTAACTAATTTTTGATTCACAAACTCAACGATTTCAAAGTGTTCCATTAACATTAACATGCCGTACATCTTCAAGCAATGATATTTTATACGCGAGGTTTCATTACATTTCGTACTGGTATTATGCTGGTAGCGTAGCAAAGCAAAGACGTTACAATATCTAACGGTATTATGCATAGAATGAATATTTGTATCAATTTTCGAATCCCGTTTTGAATCCCCAGTGAAAAAAACACCATTTTGATCGTAATATAAAATCTAAAAGCTTTTAGATTTTTATTTGTTTTTCTTTTTCCTTATTAGCAAAATAAAAATTTTATCACAAAAAATTTTATATTTCGCTTATTAAATATTTATTAAAACATACAAAAACGAACGCGAATAAATTATACAAACAATATATACGTAACACGAAAGAAAATAATAATTCACATTTGTATTTATTTTCTATCTGAAATATAAAGTTTGATACCTGCAAGACATTTTGCTGGTTGTACTTTGTAATTCAAAGATATTGGCAGCTTAAATATTAAATTTTCAGATTAACATTTCTCTCAAATAACTTTAATCTATTCCATTGATCGTTAGGTAACTTACTTTAATTTAAGAGATGTAGAATCATTAGGATTTTTGATTTTGGAGAAGCGAAAAATATGCAGTACCCTCGCCGGGATTCGAACTCTGGACCACTCGAATACGCGTCGAGTATGCTTCCAATTACACCACAAAGGAATGCGGAAAGTAGAAAGGGAAATGCCCTATAGAAAAATGAACAAATTAGGAAAACTTTGTAAGTTGGACAAAACTTGAGCATAAATAATAACAACTCAGTATCTTTCTATTATTTATTAAACTTTTCATCGGCACATAAATTAAAATACGTATGTTTGTTCGGAAATAATTAATGTCCGAGCAATGGAGGACAATTGCTAGAAATTACCTTTGTCACGGATTGTAGATGCTCATCGTTCAGTCGAGTTCCTTTTTTATTAATTTCCAACTGTGAAAAAGTTGTTTACAAACAAATATATTGTTAAGTGCTTACGGATTTGTAATGGACTTTTTTTTTGGAAGTTGGTATGAATTTAATTAATATTTGGCAACGATCCGTGGTTTGATTTAGTTTAAATCAAAGTCGGAGAAAAATGGCTGCGTCATGATGGAAGACGTTTGTATAGTATCAAAAAGAACTTCAAACGGCGAAATTTAAAAGATTTTGAGTCAAAAGAGTGTGTTCCTGCGGCAGCTTAATTGCATCTCACTGTGTTTTTGTTGAGCACTTTCTTTTTCTGGTTGTTCTTAATTATCTTTAAATATTTTACTCTGTAGTCCTTGGACTTCAGCGAAATCTTGTTATTTGGACTTAAGTTACTTGCACTGAGTAACTTGGATTACGCTGCCTAGATGGTATAGTGATAAGGGAAACCTACTGTGGTACCGAAGGGCCCAGGTTCGAATCACGGACAAGGCATGGATGTTTGTAAATGTATAGTGTCCGTGCGGCATGAGGGCACTCTAAATTTGAAGCGAGTCGAAAGTCCTCTCTAGAGGTTTGTGGCAGGGGAAGAGGGGTGGGAGACCCTCGAACCCGTTTTCCCATGGCGCTATTCATCAAAATTGGAGGCGAAAGAGCTAAATCGCACTGTCACCCGTAAGGTGCTCAAGGCTGTTGCCAACGACAAGCGTAAACTTGCGCCCCTTGCCACAAGCAATTTCGTGGGCTTGTGCTGACTAAAGGTCAGACAAGTGAGCATTACCAACAACAACAAATATATAGTGCCTTTGCGGCATGGGGTCACTTTAAATACTATATGGCGAGCCGAAAGTCCTCTCGTGTGGTGGTAAGGGAAGAGAGGTGGGAGACCCTCTGACCCCCCCCCGTGGTTCTCTCCCTCAAAATTGGGATGGAAATAGAAGTCCAACCTCCTTGAGGCAATCATTCTTCCATGAAATTCACGGACAAGACAACAGTAACTTGGACTGCGATTTTGCTTGTAAGCATTTGGGATTTTTTTTCTTTTTTTTTTTTTTTTTTTTTTTTTTTTTTTTGGACTGTTGTTTTTTGAAAAGGAGTAAGTAAGTGCAGTAAAAAAAAGGAGTACTTAAAAGTACGTGGTGTGGAAAGGAGTACTGCGTATATAGTGTGGAAAGGAATACGCAACAAAAAAGTACCGAAATTAAGGACTAAATGAGCAACCTTTTCTTGAAAAGAAGTTTGAGTTTGCTTTTCTGACTGAAATGATACATTTCTTATTTTTTACGTCATCTGAATTCGTTCTTAAACTCCAAGATTAAACTCGAAAACAATCGAAGAAATTATCTAATGGAAAACTCCAGTAAAATGTTCTAAGCCCCCGCTTAGTCCTAACGCTATAGCTCTTCGAAATAAGTTTACTGCAGTCAAACAACAAAAATCAGCGTTAATTCACAAAAATTTTGTTGTTTGACTTCTGAATCAGTATTTATTTGGCGTGTTATTGTGTCTTAAAGTTTACTGCATTTTGGAAGCCCCTGCAACTGTTGAACAAAATGAATCTATATATACATACCACTAAAGCTATGCGCGAAATAGAGCCCACACGCAAAATAAAAACGAAAAAAAGGATCAAAAGCAAATAAAGTTAACGAAACTCCAGTGATGATAACGGAATAAGTTTAACCTAGCAAAGAAATACTGAAAAGACAGAAATGCCAAGCTCAGCCACTGAGCCAACTTATGATGATCACGAGACGATTGCTTCTAGAATAAGGTGTAGATGAAGACTCGCCATATAATAAGCATAAGGATTCGAAAATTCCCTGCCACCACCAGCCGAGCAAAAATGGCGCTTATTTCAATTTTCAGTCGTTGACAGCAAATATTCCTGGAAGATTTTGATGGAAATTTTGGAAAAAGCAAACATTACTTTAATGAATTTACCGCCAAAAAGAAGATGAAAAAACATCATGAAATCCTTTCATAAAACCCTTATACACGTGGAAGAATAATAATTCTTTTTAATGATCACATAACGGGATCACATATACTTCTTCTCGCTCATAACGGGAATGGGACTATTCGCCGTGGCCGTTTCACCGTCGGGACGTTTCGCCGTCAAGACATATTTTTCTTTA